CTGCACTTTTCTGAGCAAGTTGCTCTTCATGCCTGGTATGTACAACACATTGGAAATTACTGACCTTTTTCCACCCTTCCTTGTAATCAAAATATCGCCAATACCTTTAGCTTCTAGAGTATTATCATTTGCAAATTTTATCTTGTTCTTCGTTGAGGGTTTTAGGTTGACAAACCAATCTTTGCTTCCAGACAAACAAATATTTCCTTCCAGACATGTGTGATGACACTATGCCAGAAATAACCTATGAAAGCGCTTTTTTTTGGCTTTAAAAGCGCTTAAAAGCGCTCTCGTAGGTGGCGCTGCTAAAGGTTTTAGCAGCGCTTTTTGTTCAGAAAAAAGCGCTCTCGTAGGCCTACCTATGAAAGTGCTTTTTGGTAAAAAGCGCTTTCATAGGTAGGCCTACGAGAGCGCTTTTTTCTGAAAAAGCGCTTTCATAGGTGTATTCAGAATGCGTGTCAGGCAATCTAAAGTAGGCCTATAAGAGCGCTTTTTGTTCAGAAAAAAGCGCTCTTGTAGGCCTACCTATGAAAGCGCTTTTAATCAAAAAGCGCTTTCATAGGTAGGCCTACGAGAGCGCTTTTTTCTTAAAAGCGCTTTCATAGGTTTTCTACTGAAAAATCTAAAATTTAAAAAATTTCTAAACCTGCATTTTTTTGCAGCAAACCTGTAATTCTTAAACCGGTATTTTACAATCTAATCTAGAAATACCAATATATATTAGTTTTAATCCAAATACCAAATGTAATTCAAATACCAAATATTATATATATATATATATATATATACAAATACCATTATAATCAATTCATATCCAAAATATATATACACCATGGTAATTCAATATTAACATGTTTTTAAACGTAACAAAATACACCCTAAGAAATCAGCTATATAACACTAAGTAAATCAATCCTAATCTACATATATATCCAAGGTCCTGATCCTGCAATATGAACATAATAACACGATCAGTGTTGTATACACAAAACAATATATTCATAATTAACCAATTTTCACACAACAATGTATTCGTACCTTATTATAAGATTCTTAGCTCAATAAAATATTGGCACAACTCCTCTTTGAGTTCTTCCAATTGACGTGGCGAGTAATATGGACAATTGTATTGATCAAAATACTACATTACAAAACAAAATATATGCATGATTTAGTTTAATGTAATAAATTATATGCAAAATCTGATAAGTAATAAAACAAAGTATAAATCCATACCGTGATTGGAATCTCGATTTCATTCATTTGAATGATTTCTTTGATAAACTTCAAAACGAAGTATCCGCAATCTATGCCGTTTTGTTGTTGAGGGCACTACATAGAAAAACAAATAAGATTATACACATCTATTGATTTATCAAGTAGCATAAATATTATAAGCAAAATTGTTGAAATTTATATACCTGTACTTTGATCCAATTAATGTTGTTTGATTTAGACCGTGGTACTCGTGCTTCCCTTTGACATCGGAATACTTGTATTGAACTGATGACAAAATTAAAATATTTATTTAGAACAATGACATTGAAATAATTAAATATATAAACACAAACGAATATTTAGAATAATGTCACTTACGTATCAATCAATAGCTTCATTTCCGGATAATTTGTCCAATCACCGTCAACCGAATTCAGGTAATAGACCACTTCTTTTATGGGATTGATTGCAAGCAACAACCGGTGACATCTATAAATTAAAGCAACAATTTAGAAGCGAATTTTAATGTAAAAAATACAAATATTAAAAGGAGCTTAGAATGAAAATCTAACCCTGTATTATAAGGCAAAAGATACAAGCTCTTTGTACTGGAAGTTGTCATGAATCTTTCGACCAAGTGTTCTCTTACTGAATCAGGTCCCCTAGAAATTGTTGCTCCGCTGACACGGGAGGAAGACACGAAACAGAATTTATTTGACAATTGATTCCCGCACATCAATTTGTCAAATAACATCCTTAAATAAAAACATAATTAATATTAGACTATTTCAATTAAATGTTTAAAAAAAATGTTCAACCAATTAAATAATATATTGATCGGGTTACCAGATGTACGAGTGCATCACACTGATGTCTAACTCTCGATGATGAAAGATTTGTTTCATGTCCTCTAATCCAATTGTTTCGGTACATGGAAAACCAAAGACAATTTCATCTACATTGATTTGACGAATTCCATCATTCATCAAATCTGATGTGCCAACTAGTGTCTCCAGACACTGTCGATACCTAGGCACAAATTTACGGACAGGAACCTTCTTCTTAGGTGGAACCCTACTAACTTTCTGGCTCACCTACTGTGACTGATGTTGAGAAGGTACCTTAAAAATCATATAGAATTATGTAAGATACAAAGTTATGCAGTTTTTTATTCCGATCATAAATGAAACACTTTAAAAGTACCTGTCTTTGCGATGCAATAGACTCGCCGCGCTGCAAAATCCCTTTATCCTTAGATGCGAGTTTTGTAGGAGTCTAAAATTACCATGTATAAAATTCAGGTCAGAACTGTCAGTTGAATACTTAAAGATTCATAATGGTTTTCAACATACCTGATCATCTATGCAAATGAGGTCTGATGGCCATGCCACAAAAGATCCTACTGCATCTCGCAGCAATGTGGTCTCCGCAACAATGTCAGGTACCGGTAGCAATGCATTCATATCTAAAACAACATCAACTGATACCTTCATGTGGCCATCCGGGAGCGGTCTATGGTGAATTAAATCTCCTGAGGTGTTGTGCACTTTTCCCTTGCCAACTACCCGATAAGTCGGAGACGCTAGATACAGCTGACAACATGAAATGCCCTAAACCAATAATAACCGTTAGACTTCCTTTAATGTTGACAATAATAACCGTTATAATTATACTTTCTCTAAATATAATGGATTATCATCTTAATTACCTCGGGAAAATTTTGTTGACAGTTGATACTAGCCTTGTCACTAGTTTCTTTCAACTGTGAACTGCTCCTTTCTGCCATATATCTCTCTTTGTCCCTCTGCAGTTCACGGACTTGTGCTTGTAAATCCTGCAATGTTTGCATCACTTCTGCATTGCTAGGATTTATTTTTCTTGGATTGTTATACAGAGAGGTAGGAGTCACACCATGGCCTTTACCCCTCACTCGTCCCGGATACTCAGCAACACATAGTGCTCAACTGAGTACGCTCCTGATATTCCGGTCATCACCCGTGGATACCGATTGCGATATAGTCTCCTGTAATTCATTTAAATATCGATAATTAAAGACACAACGTTAATTATATATTAATTAAAGACATAATGGTATACTTACACACTCATCATAAATATGTTGCAGATCGGGGTTAACAACTTGATCTCTGCCAACACGAGCTTCCTTCCACAACACATGTGCAGGTAGTGATGTTTCGTCACTCTGCGTCTCCTCTAACTACGCATTGTTACAAATAATAAAATCATCAATACACATTGTTACAAATTAATAATACACATTGAGATAATTAATAAGATCGTAGAATTGAGATTTACTTACAATTTTTTCCTGTAAGCGTGCATATCCCAAACGACCTTTTTTATATGGATATGCGGGTTTTGACGCTCTATCCCGATTTACAGCACTCACTTTCTTGAAATTCTCGTCTCTTCTTTGGCCCACAAAAGCAACCCATTCTTCGGGTGCAATGAAGCTCTCATATTTATTTGGTCGTTCAGGATCCTCTTCAACAAAATTTCCTTCATCGTCTTTAAGAAACTTATTTGTCAAAAAATTTCTCCACCCTCTATGTCTTTTTCCGGCCAAGCCCATTATATACTTTTTGCGGGCATCTTCAATGTTAAAAGACCTCTACAAAAAAACATACGCATAGAGGGTGTTAGTATATGTAATTTAAAAACAATATTTTCATCAAAATAAAGCAAATAACAACAACCATATATGATACCTTTATCTCGGTCCAAATTCTTTCTTTAGCATCCAACTCTCCTTTTTTCCAGCTAGGAGTGGTGATCGGAATGTGCATACGAACAAGCGTACCGATGTAGCTTGTCAGCTTTGCAGAATTAGGCCCAATTAGTTGGTCATCATTATTTCAATCTACATTATACTTAATACCTCTATCTCTATCACGGATGATTCCCCGCATGATAGTTATGCCTCGTGTGATGTCCTTATCTGAAGTGTCTTGTGGAACATTATCTTGTGGAACATCTCCTTGTGGAACATTTTCTGAATTATCTTGTGGAACATCTCCTTGTGGAACATTGTGATACATTTTCTGTCAAAACGTAAAGTATACACAGAATGAATCCGTATCAAGAAAATGCAACATACGAAAGACAATTTAAGACAAATTCATCACAATATATACCAGTAATTTGAGGAAGAAAGTTACCTCTCAGATGTTTCGAACTCTAAGAAACGCGAAGAATGAGCGTCGTACGTCGAACTAGGCCGGGAAACGCTGCAAATTCATAGAATGTTATTCAATATTTCGGATCGATTGTCGAAAGATATATACTATTTTAACATAAAGGTTCACAATAAATGTCACATATATATTTTCAATGTTTGGGAAAGCTATGACAATAATACAACACAAATATTAGAAATAGTGAATTCACAAAGTCAACATAAACCCACAAATATAATCCAAAACACAAACCATTTCAATGTTACCACCAAAATTATGTAGCATGCACCCGGAGAAATAAAACATACATCAACCCACAAATAAGAAATATATAAACAAAAAATAAGTAGAAAAAGGATAGTGTTAGATTTGTAAATACATAATTAAAAGATATTTGAAAAAAGGGAAATATACATAATTCTATATACATAATTCTATAGATACAAAGCATTACAAAAAGGGAAATAACAATTATAACTAAAAGATATTTGAAAAGATGCCATGTAAGGGACTTTTATATCCATTTTCATATGTTTTTTTACCTTACAATCTCCGGAGGCATTTGATGACCAAACTAAAAAATGAATGTTTGGATCAAATGTTTGTTGGCAAAATGCTTATAAAAATCTATTTGCCGGATGTTCTGAGATTTTGGCTACTAATGATAAAAGATCTAGATTAGCTTGGCATTTAAGTGATTGTTTTCAAAGAGATTCTGGCAGGCCTTCCTTTCCTCACTGTGACTCAAAAACACCGATTGCTAAATGTCTGAGAAACTTAGATGATCTTGCTCATAAGGTTTATCTCGAATTCTACCTCGAAACCAACTCCATTTGCTATCAACTACAGTTAAGTGAAGTTTTTTTTTCTTTCAATTTCTAATATTATTCAATAATTCAATTTTTTTAAAGAGTGATTCTTTGATGTTTTTGCCTCAACTTGAACTAAGTTTGTATATTTGTACAGGACACATGCATTTAAACATGAAACTGAGAGACTTGTAACTGAATTGAAAAATTCTGCTCAATATGTGGAGGACAAGTTAGATAGCATTGAAGATAAATCAGATTGTCTATTACAAAACTCAAAACAAATTTCCGAATCTCTCGAATCAGTTAATAGTCACACACAGTTAGTAGCACAAACTGTCAAGAATTTCTTGACAAGACAATGGCCTGAGTTTGGGTGGAAGTGGAAGCAACATAAGCATGAGTTCAAGGTAGAGAAATTTATGTTTCAACGTTTTTTTCTACAAGAAAGACTGATGCAAAGCCTAGTAAGGATTGGTTAATTCAATGCAAAAACCATTATTTTCATGACATGCACAGATATTTATACTGAAAATACAGTCAAAATCAATGGTTTCCACTGTGAAACCAACCTTAATGGTGAACAGTGACTGTAATTCCAAGACTCTGAAAATTGTGTTTTTTTTTCTGCTACAGTCAGACTCTTAAATTCGTTTCATATGTCATTTTCAAAGTTAACCTGTGAAGAGTTATTTACTGGTATCATGTTAGATGGGTTGGTAAAGTGACACTCGGTGAATATAACATGAGAATTTCAATTGGGAATAGCTATAACAGAACATGGGCACAATCTTCAACTCAGAATTCAATTGCATGCTGCATTGTTGCATATCATGATGCAAAAGATGAGTAGTAAAGTCTATTAAGACATTCCAAGAGTGTCTATGAGCAAACTACGGAAATGAGAAGAAGAAGAAACTAAACGGTCAAATAACGGAACAGATAATGGAAGAAGAAGAAACTTACCAAGATGGACAAGAACGCAGTGAACGGCGGCAACGACTGAAGAAGAGGGAAGAACGACGGTGACGAAGGAAGACGAAGCAGAAGTGAACGGCGGTAGGAATGAGACGAACGGTAACAGGAAGAAGAAATGAAGAAGACGAAGAAATGAACAAGTGAGGGCAAATTTCGTATTTAGGGATATAGGCTACGAAAGCGCTTTTAAAAGCGCTTTCTAAGACCCATATATGAGAGCGTTTTTGAGGTAAAAAGCGCTTTCGTATGTCCCCCATATAAGAGCGCTTTAGAAAGCGCTTTCGTAGGTCCCCCTTTCAGAGCGCTTTTCAAAAGCGCTTTTCAAAAGCGCTTTCGTAGGTTAGATATTTCAAATACCTATGAAAGCGCTTTCTGAAAAGCACTTTCGTAGGAAACCCTATAAAAGCGCTTTTTTTAAGCGAATTTTTTTTAAAGGCTACGAAAGCGCTTTCTCTTAAAAGCGCTTTCGTAGATGCGCTGCCAAAAATTGTTTTTTTCGTAGTGTGAACATCTTGAATCCAAGTACCATTGATCCTTGAATCTTTCTTCATCTCTTGTTGTAACCATCAACATTATCTCTTCTTCTTCATACTTTGCAAATTTTGCATCACTTTATTGATTCTTTCTCTTTTCTGGACAATCACTAAAATAATGACCATACTTCTGACAATTATAACACTCAATGTGACTCTTGTCAGACTTTCGACCACCACCTCTCCCTCCAGCACCACCTCTTTGATTACATTGGTAACACGGTCTTCTTTGATTCAACATGATTCATTCCCGCTAGTTTCCTGTGTCAGTCGAATTATTGTAGTCACCTCTATCTTTGTCGAACCACTTTCCTTTTCCTTTACTTTCTTTTGTTGACTGTGCCTGCAAAGCCACAACACTTTCTTCTTTTTCCCTTGATCTCTTCTTGATTTCTCTTTCCTTGAATCGATCAATCGGAGCTCTTGATACCAGATGTTAGAAATCCACCAATTCCTATGGTGAATTTTTATCAATCTTGACGAACAAGATTGTTATCACCATACAATAACGATGAAAAATATGAAAGAAAGAAAGAAAGACAATGGTTTTTGTGTAGAGTTTCTCTCTTTTCATAAACTGTGGAAAACTTCTTATTCACTTGTAACTGCAAATTCTGTGAATACAGCTTGATTGACTTGATTACAAAAATAGGGGTTACTCCCTTTATTTATAGATTTAGGTTAGCTTGCTCTCTAAGCCAAAACCCAAAACTATAAAAGCTCAAAATACCTATTTTGAAACTAAATAAAATCTATTATATTTTAGATCTAAATCAAATCTATCTAAATCTAAAACAAATCTAATTTGTCAAGCAATCTGCTTAGACAACTACTCCTATTCGACACACATAGTTTCGACATCAAGGAATTACAATTTAACAATATTCACCACCTAAATCACAACGAAAACACTTTATAACAACATTATGTTAAGTCTTAACCATAACACGAAACATGCAATAAATGTATAAAAAAATCATAACGATTTTTCATCAGATAAATCCAACAATAACGAGTATAGTCATCAATAAACAAAATATAATATCTAGATCCACCCTAAGTAAGAAGTGTTATGAACCTCATACATTAGTGTGAATTGAGTCAAATGATGCACATGAAGTGGAAACACTTTTACTTAATGGTAAAGTGAGAAATTTAGCAAGTTACAACCACAACAATCTAAGATATCATTGGTTTGTTACTTTTCAAAAGCTCCAGTAAAAATCCAACTACTTTAATCTAGAAGCATAGACATGTCCAATACGATAATACCATAAATAAAAACTAGAAGACGAAAAATTCAGATGAAAATAGGATAATAAATCAACTGTGGTAGTAGAGGTTGAGGCTGCAGTATCTGGGACTCTCAACTCATCCAAAACATAAAGTCTGCCATGTCTAGGGTCTGTCTCAATCAGCTTCCTGGAATGAGGATCCTGCACACAACAAGAAGTGGAAGAAAACATAACTGGGTAACCAGAATCACACAATTGACTAACAGAAGCAAGACTTAAAGTGAAGTTAGGAATATAATAAACATTAGAAAATGATAAATTAGGTGGGAGACAGAACCAATGTCTGCTAATTGCATATGAGTGCCATCAACAATCATAATTAACATAGATGGTGCAATATTCAAAGACACAAATGATTTAGTATCATAAGACATATGGTGTGATGCTCTATAGCCTAGAATCCATATGGAAGAGGATATACCTGACAAACAAGAAGAGTTCAAACCTTTAATAGAGGAGGAAGGCATAACACGAGACTTAGTAGCGAGAAGCTTTTGGAGCTGCTCTGTAATATCAGATATTTGATAAATAATTTCAGATGGATATGCATGATTAGAACCAGAACCAATGGTAGTAGGAGCATCTGAAGCAACATTAGATGATGGACTCTTGAAGTATTTCTTATTTGCTTTCAACAATCTGGAACATTGTGCTTTTCAATGACCTTTCTCCTTACAAAAAACACATTCATCAATACCAAACCCAAACATACCTTAGGGTTTTCCTTTGTGAAATGGAGCAACAAAAACATATGAAGGAGTGAAGATGACTCATTTATCTAAAATCAAATTTGAGTGGGACTTGAGTCTAATTTCTTCTACCAACAATTTATTAAAAACTGAATCAACATTAAGAAGAGGATTACGATACAAAATACTCCCACGAAGGCCCTCAAAATCATCCATAAGTTCTATCAGAAATTGAACCAAACATTGCTCTTCTCTTTGATTAATGTACACTTTAACAACTTTTAATTCAATTGACTCCATAAGAGCCAACTAATCCCACAAATTACTCATCGTTGAGTAGAATTCCTGAGTGGTCATATTATTCTGTTTGAGAGCTCTAATATCACTCTCCAACTGATTCTGTTTTGCAAAATTAGATTGAGCATACAGATGTTTGAAATGGTCCCAAACCTCCTTAGCAGTATCATATTTTGCTACTTGCACACCTATTGACTAAGAAACAAAATCATTAATCCAAGTAAGAATATTTGAATTACTAACATCCCATGTTTACAACTTTTTTGCATATTTTGCTTCATCCTTTTTATCTATAGGTTTAACCGAGGTTCCATCAACATAACTCCACATCTTTTTTCCTTTAAATTTGTTTTCATCACATAACTCCAATAAGGATAATTTTATTTATTAAGCTAGACACTAATCGACTGAAGAGAGTCATATTTATTATTACTCATTATAATCAACTATGAGATAACCAAAACACCACAATTGAGTAAAGTATCAAATAAAATTGATCAAAAAGGAAAACAAAATTGGTAGCCAAATTGAAGAAATTATACAATTGAAAGATGTACAACCTTCTATATGAATGGTTACAAAATTGCTATTACCACACAGTTGTTGCAGTTACAAATTGGCTATTACCACAAATTATAATGAATAACTATTAACACATAATCGATGCAGTTACAAATTGGTTTGATGGTGCTTGCATGATCTAGTAGCTGACAAGATCGGTCAAAGTTGCTGCAACGTGAATTTTAGCAACGTGAATCACTGTCAAATTCCAATAAATTAGCACCGTCAAACTCCAACAAATCAAAGAAAAAAAGTCATTGCTCCAAATCGTAAAAATATGTATACCACTTTACAATAGTTCCGGAAATCAAATTAGACTCTAATACTATATTAAGAATAATAAACATATAGAAACATAGAGAAGGAAAAAGACCACATAACTTAAAGTTAAATAGAATAAACAAAACTAAACTTGAAGAGTAAGGATTACACTAAAATATAAATATTAAATGTTAGGAAATACTGAATTATCCTTACAAAAATACAATATAATAATAATAATAATAATAATAATAATAATAATAATAATAATAATAATAATAATAATAATTATAATAATAATAAAGCTGTTGAAGTCAATCTTGATTCTTAATTTTGATTCTTAATTACTAGAGTAAATGCTAAAGATGATAATTGTCTCATGGGAAGAAACATCACTACTAAGATAAAATCTCTTTTATCACAAGATTGGACGTTCAAATAAAACATGTTTATAAGAAGATCAATTATTATGGCGATGCATTAACTATAAAGAGAATCATTCTCTCTAAATCTATGTGTCTGTCCCAACTTCATTTCTCAATTGTTAGAGAATGATAGGTTGAGTCTTTTTATCTCTGATGTAATTTTTTTTTAAACTTTTGCCCTCATTCATATAAAAAAAAGTATTATTTAAAGTTTTTTTCTTCAAATTGTAATATTTAGAATAAAAAAAAGGTTAAATGGGCCAAGGAGAAACCAACAAAAGTGGTAGCCGTCACACACAAGCCAAACCCCGAAGACAATTTCGCAAACAATGAAAAATTTATAGAAAAACTATTAGTTATTGAGGAGCTGAGGATAGAGCAAGAAGAAATACTCGTCACACCCTACCAAATTTCAAAATCGATTTTCATCCACCGCAAAAGCTCTAAATTGTTCTTTGAGTAGAATCCAGTTTTGGAAGAAGAATCACTTTTCTCCCAAACATCTTTCAATAGAGGAAAAAACTGCGATTGGCCAAACAAAACGCAAGTAAAACACCGTCGGAACCAGATCCATCGAAACCCTATCACGTTCAAATCAAACCATAGCATCATCATCAACATCATCATCATCGAGATCCAAAGGTTTTTCGCTCTATTCCATTCACCTCCATTTATATCTCGATTGTTTCTTCGCAGGTTATACCTAACTGTTAGTTAATTGTTATACATGATAATGATAATGATGATGATGGTGATGATTACCGTTACCGATATATTCCAAAACAGTGCCATAAAACATCTCTATTTACATGCTTGAATGCTTCTTTGTGCAGGAGTACTGGTGATATATATATTTTCTCCCGTGGCTTAATTGATGAACAAGTTGATCGAGTTTCTGGAATGGAGATGAGCTGCCCGTCGAATGTTAATAGAGATGTCCCTACGTGTTCTACTAGCGCAGTTAATATTTCACACTCACACCAAAGTTTTGTGCAACAGCCTGCTTTTGTGAGTGGATGGATGTATGTGAATGAAAATGGACAAATGTGCGGTCCATATATTAAGGAGCAATTATATGGGGGGCTAACTACAGGTTTCTTGCCGTTTGAGCTTCCTGTGTATCCTGTAATCAATGGCACAATAATGAACCCTGTACCATTGAATTATTTCCAACAGTATCCGGACCATGTTTCCACCGGGTTTGTTTACATGGGTATGAATTTCGCAGACACAATGATGTCTACTAATGGCTCCTCTTCTTCTCAGGATATGACAATATATGGGCAAGATAGATCTTTTGAGCCTGCCGCTCTTATGGCTGTTAACGCTGATTCAGAGTCTGTTTCACAGTTAAATGTCAATGACTGCACTAAGGAATCCAATCACTTGAATTTGAATTCGGAGGCTTTCAGGAGGATTATTTCTTGTCAGATGGTAGTGCTATATCTGTTCTCTGCTTTGTTAAATGAGTTAGTTTGACATTCATGTTGCTTATTTTTATGACTGTGTCTTGTTTCTTGTTTTAGTCGGGAGGAGAATGTTGTTGGCTTTATGAGGATAAAAAGGGTATGAAACATGGGCCGCATTCCATTTCAGAATTGATTTCCTGGCACCACCATGGATATCTTGAAGATTCAACAGTCGTAAGATACTATAATTTTTTCAGTTAAATAATATATAAGCTGCAAATCTGGTGCAGGAAAGGAAATGATTAATTGATAAGTTTTCTTTAAGCAGTTTATGATAAGTTTATGACTATTTTCAGTTTCCTTTACCCAAAGTATACATTGCACCTCATTTTTTTCCTTAAGTTTATTTATGAGCTAGGATTAAATTTTCTTTTATTGCAAGGATTTTGGAGCTGTCCACAAGTGTTGGTGGGGTTTTCATGGATATCCTCCAATATAATCTCCTGATCTTATCCTTTATTCTTATAGTGGTGTGACTTTTATTTTTCAACTGGACATTATTTTTGACTCTGGTGTTTTATAAAGAGCTATTTGCTGGAACATGATGTTATTGCCCATGTTTGCCACTGGGTTATATAAAGAAAGTACTTTTATTCTAATAATAATAATAATAATAATAATAATAATAATAATAATAATAATAATAATAATAATAATAATAATCATTATTTTGATGTATTTATATTTATTTACAGATCTCCCATTTTGACAATAAGTATGGAAACTTTGTGTTGTTGGCTGCTGCAAATGTGTTGAAAGGAGATATATCTGGAACCATATGTGGATCAGATTCCAAAAGCAATGGAGTCGGTGATGTGATGAACTTAAATTTTGAAATATCTGAAGACATTTCTTCCCAATTGCACATGGGTGTTATGAAAGCTGCCCGAAGAGTTGTGCTAGATGGTATTATTGGCAATATCATTTCAGGATTTGTTACTGAAAAGAAATGCAAGAACCAAAAGATTGAGTCTTCTGATCGAACTTCTGAAACTTGCACATTGGACAGTAAAATGGTAATGTTTAAATGCTTTGCAGTTTTTGAATACTTGAAATTCTGTTCATTGTGCCAAGTCATAGAATATTTCCTTTAACAGTTCGTGTTTTATGTGTAGATGAATAATGGTACTTCTATTCCTCCTAGTGAGCCTGCACCTTCCCATTTTTTGGATGACCAGGCTTGTCATGAAATTTCCAGACTGTCTTCAACGAGTGTTAAGACAGTTGGAAGCATTGAAAATTTTTGGTGCTCATATTCTGTTGTTCGTAAAGCAATTGTTGATTATTGCTTGCTAGTCACGTGGAATGCAGTGTTTTTTGACACGCTAACAGAGTACTTAATTTCCTGGAGGAAAAAGAAATATTGGTCTCATCCTAAGCCTCCATCAACTTTTATTGAATCTAAAGATTATGTTGAAAAGATTAAATCAAAAGCTGTGAGTTCTGAGTGGCTTGCTTACTTGAGGTTTTTGCTTTAATTGTACTTATAAATAATAATCAAACAGTTGTTGTACAGTTGGTTCTCAGGCCAGGTTCCTCTATATGCAATGATGATGCTGATATGCAGTCTGGCGTGATGACGACAGAAAGAGATTGTCATCCTGAGTTACTTATATCTGCTAATAACCTCAAAAGCCGAAACATAGCCGGAGCTCAAAGAGTTTCATGCAGTTATCATAATTCTAAAGTTTTGACATGCATTCTTGAATGTGTGGAGAACGATCTTCACTTCTCTGCAAAGGTGTCTCTAGCTGATTATGTTCGAAGTGTTGTTGAAAAGGAAGTAAACCAATTAATTCCTTCCCTAGAAAAAGATAAATTCAGTGAGGTAACTATACAAGTGTTCATATTCTTCTATCTACTTAGACAATAGACACATTTGTTGAAGAGTCCTTTAATAGTTGCAGGTTGATGATAGTAACTGCCATATCTCAGAGATGCTTACCAGTAAAACATCAGCTAAAGAAATTCTAAATGACAAGACTGTCGATCCTGTGAAAAATAGAGACTCAATTTGCATGTCTTCACCTGGAAACCAAATGTCTAATGTTTTCTCAAAAGCATTTCAAGAACTGTGTGGACATTTAAATGATGTGGTTGACGAAGAGGAGGTTGGTGACATGCCACCTGGATTTGAAAAAAATTCTCAAATAATATTCCCTCACTACAGCTCAAAATTCCGCCCTTCAAGAATAGTTGAATGTAATCCCAAGATTACAGAGTATGTTACTGCTGCACTGTGCAGACAGAAGCTGCATGATGAAGTCCTAGAGAAGTGGAAGTTCTCGATTCTTGATTCTACGATTAAACAGGTTCTTATGTCATCATGTACCATAAAGAAGAATTTTCAGTCTCGTGGTCATGAGGTAAGAACTTGTTCAATATTATGAGAATTTAAATATTTGGTTTCTCTGAATGTCTGTCTTTGTTATTTGGTTTTATTTAACCTCATTCCTGTCTTTATAATTCGCAAGAAGAGGAAGTCATTTGGTGCAATTAAGGAACAGTTGAATGGTGTTACTTCTGGACTGGGAAAAGGGAAGGAAGGCTCAAAAAGTTCTGGAGTTCCTTTGTTGGATGGAAATACATATCATCGTAAGAAGCTACCACGGAAAGAGTTTTGCTCCTTTCAGCCTGTTGTAGAAGATAATTTAGGGCCAGGGAAGAAGCCTCTGGCTAACTTACAGAAACATGTTTCTGGAGATGTGAATGAGAGTGCCAAAGTTAAAATAACTGCTATTAAACATGGAAAGACTAAGATGATTAAAGGGAAGAAGGATGCATCTTCTAAGAGCGGGTCTTCTTTCAATGTCGACAATAGCTCACCCAATGATCAATTATCCTTGAAGAATAAAACTAGCCAGAAAGTAGTGAAGTTTGCGCATACAGTTCAAAGTATATAATATCTTTGTTAAGTTGTCCTTAGTTTTATGATTATATTTTTTTAGGAATAACATCTGTCATTTCCCATTATTCAGATGGTGTTATGGATGTCATGAAGTTCAATGAAAAGAGGTCATGGGCATCCTCTAAGAGCAGGTCTTCTATCAATGTCGATAAAAGCATACCCAGTGATCACTTATCCTTGAAGAACAAAACTAGCCAGAAAGTAGTAAAGTTTGCGCATACAGTTCAAAGTATATAATTTTCCTTGTTAATTTGTCATTAGTTTTCTGATTATAATTTTTTTTAGGAATAACATCTGTCATTTTCCATTATTCAGATGGTGTTACGGATATTATGAAGTTTAACGAAAACAGGCTATCGACATCAACTGATAATATTGTTGGTATGAAAGTAGCTAAAAGAAATAACTCTGATGTCACCATTCACAGGAAGACCACTGGTCATATATCTATAGAGAAACTAAGTGGTATGTTTTTTTGTAATATGTCTTTATTAGTTCTCATTCCTTGTTCCTTGTTGAAACTTACCTGATTGGTGTAAAATATCTTTATTAGTTTTCAGGATAAATTTATTTTGTTTTTGGCTTGTTATTTCCTTTTGCAGTGACAAATAAAGTGTCAAAACCAAAAAGGAAGCATCAAACAGATGTTGTTACATCCTCACTTCCTGCTAAGGTTTTGAAAATTTCAAATAGGGGGTCTAGTCTGAAAGCTAGCAAACAAGTAACTGAGGCACAGAAGGAATCTGCCGTATCCAAGTCATTGGATTTATGTCCTAAATCTAATGGTTGTGCTAGGGCTTCTATTAATGGGTGGGAATGGCATAAATGGTCACTAAGTGCCAGTCCTGCGTGTAGAGCACGTGTCAGGGGTCGTCTTCCACGTTTACAAAACAGGCGCAGAAATTCTGAAAACATTTCATCCCAGGTGTCAAATGGCAAGGGTCTTTCAGCAAGAACCAATAGGGTGAAATTGCGCAACCTTCTTGCTGCAGCTGAGGGTGCAGATCTTCTGAAAGTGCCTCAATTGAAGGTGATTGAAAAATGAGTGTTTTTTGGTCACACTTATCTAGAGCATTGTGATAAATCAGATTTCAACTATTATATTTTGCATCTTTCAGGCACGAAAAAAGCGATTATGTTTTCAAAGGAGCAAGATACACGACTGGGGTCTTGTTGCCTTAGAGCCAATAGAAGCAGAGGACTTTGTGATTGAATATATTGGAGAATTAATTCGTCCTCGGGTATAAACAAATTAATATTGGTTTAAAGATGCATATTTCAAGGCATATCATGCTAGTCTATTTTGCAAAGTAAATTTTGACTTCAATACTCATATACAACAATATTACTAAAATCAATCAAATTAGGCAGTTTTTTTATATAACAATTCCAATTTTTTTCTGTAAATATTTATGTCTAGGAAGATGTGTCACTTTTTGCGTAATTCATTGAAGAATGAATAGTTTATTGTTGATGGCTATAAAATCTGTTACTTGTTCAGAGTAAAATAATTAAGGTGCACAGAAACTAAGGAACTTGGAATTTAAGTAAATCAATACGCATAGAAAAGGATACAATATAAAAAATAAATGATTTCTGTACTTATTTTTGTTGGTCTACATATCAAGAATTGATCATTAAGCATACTAGGTCTTCCAATTTGCAGTCCAATTCTTGGTTTGGCAAGTGCATAGCATATGCATTTCCAACATTGTCTTTTCAATGCAATTGCTCCTTTTACAAATGATTTTTTTATTTGATATATTGACTGGTGCGGTTTTATCGCTTACAGATATCGGATATACGTGAGCTTCAATATGAGAAGATGGGAATTGGAAGCAGTTACCTTTTCAGAATTGATGATGGTCATGTGGTTAGTATGCATTTTGTAGTATTTTTAAAATTTTTTGATGTTGGAAGTTTCATTAATGTTGCTTTCCTAATACAAGTTTGGGATCATTTTGTCAGATGTATCTGATATCTGTTTATCCTTATTTACCCTATGTTGGTATTGAATTGTATTGTTGACTATACTTTTCTGCAATTGAAACATAGAGAAATTAGAGGACCAAAGTCTTGTAAGAATTAAATCTAATGGATTATGTTAGAAGTCTTGCAATTTTATTTCGAAGTTGATGAGAATTCAGAGACATGTCCCCAGGTGTCTATGGATAGACTTTAGAAGGTAGATATGAACGCTTGTAACTAAAATCTCAGCTGTTACTTAACCAAAGAAGGGGATTCACTTTTGTGCAGCTATGGTTTGAATACAATAATTTGGTAAATCCACTGTAGTTATAATTGGGCTTGTGAGATGGTTAGCTTAATTGTTAGTTGGGCTTTCTTAATCTGATCATAGGTTATTTAGTCATGAAAACATTATAACCACCCGACCTTGAGAAGTGAAGTTCCGTGCTATGGCTTGTAATGCATGTATTATTTGGTTCTTCTAGACACCTTTTATATGGCAATCCTCCTAGACACACATTAAGTTAAATTTAGTTTTTCATGTCCTTTAATTAGTATTATTATGTCGGTAAATACAGTGATAACATTTGAAGTGATAGATTTGCTTTTCCTGTCTGTTTGTAGGTTGATGCTACAAAGAAAGGCGGGATTGCAAGATTTATCAACCATTCTTGTGAGGTACTTCTGCAGTAATATTATATGTTGAAATGCATGTGTGTTTGGGTGCATGCTTGTGTTACTTCAACTCTTGATTTCACATTTTTCCTAATTTGAACTGAACTTTTGGCAGCCCAACTGTTACACAAAGGTTATATCTTTTGAGGGTCAAAAAAAGATTTTTATATATGCAAAGCGGCATATAAATGCCGGTGAAGAAATTACATACAATTATAAGTTTCCCTTGGAGGAGAAAAAGATTCCCTGCAACTGTGGTTCCAAAAAGTAAGATTATTATACTCTTCAATTTCTTCGATAATATGTGCTACAATTTTATTGGCACTGCTCCTAGATATTTGAATTGTATTGATTTTTCTATATGATGCACAGACACGATACGGGTGTATCGGATACAGATTGTATCCGATATGGCAATACGCCATTTCTTGAAAACGCGTAGGGGGGATGAGTGGATGTTTTAGAAGTGATGAGATCATGAACCGATATGGCAATATGTGAAAACTGAATAATATATTTCGATATTGAAAATGCACAAGCACTAATCTCTATATATAGACTATTCTAATCTAATGGGCCTAACTAATGGACTAAAGGTCCGTAAATAAATTACTAAGAACAATAGTAAAAATAACTACGGTAAATAATTGACTTACCACACAATACGGCATTCCTTAAAAACTAGTACAGGAGTTGAGTGCTGCATTGGATGAGTGGATATATTAGAAGTGGCGAGATCACAAACCAAAGTAGTTTGACGATAGTTTTAATAGCTCCTTTTGATGAGTAGATAACTAAAATTCCCCAAGATAAGGGTTTGGTCATGTGACGAAAAGACCAAACGACAATCATTAAGAATGGGTCTAATTGATCAAGTGAAAGTTGGCCTGATTAAGTTTTGTGGAGAAAACTTCAAATAAGTCTGAAGAAAAATCATTAAAGTCCAATAGAAATGGGTTTTCTGATTTTTTTAGCGAAGTACGGATGTGTTAAGTTCATGTATTGGACCCTACCTAATGGAAATGGTTTGGATCCTTTCCTTCCAATCTCTCTACACCTCCTTTCCACTTTTAATCAATTTTCCTTCTCTCTTCCTATTGAAATAGAGAAACCAGTTCCGTTTGGTTATTTTATAACCCTACAGAATCTATATAAGGTTGGCTTTGGTGGTTGGGATGTGGGAGTTAAGTAGTGTGAAGTGATAAGGAAGTTGAGGGTTCTATAACATACACTATCATTAGCCATTCCCAAAAAAGCATCAATTTGATAGATACTTGAGTAGGATCAGTATTTTATCAGAACTTTTAGGGTGAAAAAAAATGTGAAGTCACCTTTTTCTTTTCGTTGTAATTGCAACATTTATGTCCTTATTATGCAGGTGTCGTAGATCATTAAATTAAGCTGTTATTGAAACTAATACCTGTATGCACTTACTCAGGTATGCACTTGTCTTCAAAATTTGTGCTTAATCTTGGCATGCATTGAACAACTGTTGTTCATTTTATTATGCGCTTCCTCAGTTTGTGCAGTGGTCATGCATGTTTATTTAATCTTCCTTATATGACATCTTGATTTTTCATTGATTCAAATGTTAAAATTTCCTCTCTTTTTGGTAACTGATTAGTTGATACTATAGATTATAATTTATTCTCCCCCTTTGTTGATAGCTGCTTCTCCTTTACCTTTACACGTCGTCGTTTTCCTGATTTTGACTAGGGTTTGTTAAGTGCATGCATTCAATGCTATAAACATGTATGTCCGGCTTCTGTTTTATCAGTTGTGTTAAAGAATATTTTGGAAATGGGCATATCTTAGTTATTTGTGAATGTTCAGTGATGCAATTGGTTAGAGATAATTATTTTATTTTGACTGGAATGTTTGTCAGAAAGAATTATTTTATTGTTGCTTTCCTCCTTGCAGGATAATACTCCCAAAATACACGTTGCTCATTGAATATTTGAGGACTGTTACTCTATATTTCACTGGACTGTTGACATCAAATTGGACGTGTTGCAACAGTGCTTGTAAACCTTTACCTTGTATGTTTCCACTCGCTTAAAGTAATCTGATGTTCATGGGGTTAAATATCTATTTTTAAACATCGGCATGCTTTATTAATTTTTTTTGTTACTTGATATGGACCTCACGTGAGTAGTTGCATAGATTGGTTTCCTCTGTTAAAGAACGGCCAATTGTTCATTTGGCATCTGCTTTCTATATGCTGCCTGCACTATTACATTTACAACTTGCATTAGCTATCCTTCACTAAGTGGAAATCTCGTGGTTGTTGACACTTTATTAAAGTGTTGTAGTTTTATTCTTCTACAATGAATGCATCTTGGATAGTTTAGCATACCTTGTTTTGTGATAGCTCTTGATCCTTTTATGCCAAGAATTTTTTGATGTTTTGATGATAATAATAGTAGAAATGCCATCCAGTGCATGGGTTATGGGTATTGATTTAAGTGTTATGGTGTTTCAGGTAGTTATGGATCCACCATTTTTGGAGAAAGGCTGAACTGAATGCTATTGGTGACCGTTGTTGCCTACTTGTTTGGTGATGGGATAACAAACTTGAGCATTCATGTAGATGGTTGTGGCAGTTGAGTTTCTCCTCTTAGAAGCTGTAAATAATTGTTTTTCCACGTCTATATAATTTAGTGAAGGAATGATTTGGTACAAAGATGCCTAATTCTTTTAACGAGTAAAAAAGATTTGGAACATTAGTGCATGCTTCTCAAAATTACCATATTGCACATCTCAAATCCCCCTTCTTACTCTCCAGTTCCTTCTCTTTTTTTTTCTCCCACACCTTGTTTCTATAACAAAAATTTGATTGAATTGTATTAGTGCAGCTGAATAGAGGGCAACTACTGGCCAACAGTATAATAATATTGGAATTCTTGTTGAAAAGTGGATTGTAAAATTATTAGACGTCCATATCAACCTTTTTGAACAGTCAATTGTTAAATATTAATGTGCCGAAACTTGTTTTATTTGCATGATGGATATAAGGCTTTTTTTTTTTTGCCACAAGTGAAATCACTTGCCTATTAACAAAAACTGGCATCTCTTTTTCGGATCTGGAAAACCATACCTTAAAATGGTACTCATGCATGGTGTAAAATCTCCCATTTCTCAACTTAGGGAAATTGATAAGATTTCAGGTAAAATGGTTTGTAATTGAGGAGTTCAATTTCGCTATGTTAATGATGATTGGTAGGAGTCATGTAGTAAAAATAATTATGGATTTTTTTCTTACACTAAATAATAATTACTCTAAAAATTAAGTGATATTGAGGTTAGTCAGTACTTAACATTTAATGATGATTGTGTTCATTGTTTTCAATTCGTTTATTTTGCTTCCCACCTTCAATTCCTGTGGTGTGCAGGAGTAGCTCAAGTAGGAAAAACTGTTAGGTTGCTGAATTGGATTATGCTACCGGTATGTTTCTCTTTCTGCCCCTTGTTACAGTCATTCCTGGTCAGCTTTTTTTTACATGTTCTCCAGCAATCAACTCCTGTGCAAATAAAGTGAGCACTGATCAGCAACTTAAGGTATTAAAAAATGAATTCCGGGCCAATACCACTATCATTTAGGATGCACCAAATGTTTGGGTGGGAGAGCAGTGGCTTTAGACCTTAGCTTTGTTTTGTTGATTGGTTTCTTAACATGCTTTATTATTTCTCAGAAATTCGCATGCTCACAAAATTACTATAATGAAGTTGCTTCAAAATACACATGAATTTTCCGTGAAAATAGTGTGGAGTTTGAACCGGTGAGTTTAACAAACATAACTCTTTACATGTTTTATTTACAAGTACAAAAAAATATTTTTTGATAAAATGGCAATTTACCTAGCATATTTCATTCTATTGGCCGAAGTTCAGGAGTTTCACTAAATTATGTAGGCTATATAATTTTTAACCAATAAAAAAGTATTTGAATCCGTGTTGGAGAATATTTTTATCATTTTGATTTTTTAAAAGGGATAAAATGTAGAGATTAATTGAGATATTAACAATGCTTGTGAGAAGGCTTGCATGAAAAACAAGGTCGGGAATGGAAAACTGGTATTTGGTACGGATGAAATTTAGAATACAATGTCACTTGTTTTTTTGTGTTAAATTGTGTTTTGCTGTACTAACATTTTTATCATTTGTGTTAAACTGGTATTTGTTTCTGTAGCACTAAAACATGGCACCTTTGAAATGACAAACTCATGAATACGGGGAAAACTTTCCTCACCTCCAACATGAACTTGGATGTGGTAGAAATTCAATGACTGAATCTAAGTGTTTATTAAAAAAAAAAAATCTAAACTAGTGCAATTTATAACTTGTGTTAAGTTATTGAGCACCAACAACATTTAACAATAGATTTCAATATCATTTGAGCATACATAAGTGATGTGTATGGACCATTAAACACCTCTTTGATAAAACTAAGCATAATATTAACAAACCAATAACCTTTAAGAAATAAATGTGAATTTATAATATAATAAATAATGAGTTACCTTTCAATAATATGCAATTTGAATTTGAGGAATATGTGCAATACTGCAATCGTTTAGAAGAAAGCACGGACATTCGAACACGACACCGTTAATAGTTTTAACAAATTTAAATGTAATTACATGTTAGTGTCGCTACACCGACACAAACATATACATGCTTTTTTCCAGGTGTCGGTATTACACAAGGTTTGGTAAATATCACATGAAAAATATTTGTTCATCTGATGAGTTTGTGTTTATTATAATGATTAAAATTAAGATTAAGATTATATTAGATGAAGTGCCAGAATAAAATTGTAAATAAATTACAAATGTGATATCTTTTTTTATTTCGTGTTGTTAGATGTATGAGTTAAATTGAATAATTTAAAGTGATATAAAAACGATGTATTTGTTGATTCACACACGTTAAAGTTTATCTTTAAATTGTTCTCTTTTTGTGTATTATTATTATGGTTAAGATGAGAAAAAATGAGTAATTTTGTTTGATCCGAAAACATGTAAAAGTTTATCTTTAATTTGTTCTCTTTTTAAGTATTATTATGGCTAAGATGAGCCAAATTACTAATTTTTGGTGATCCGAAAGTGCAATTTTGGACGACTTATACTACTTAAAAGTATAGTTCTAAACATGTTAAACGGGGTTGAAGTAGTTCTTTTAAATAAAGGCATGCAAGCTAATCTTGATTTTAGAGCAAATTGTTAAATTGGTCCTTGACTTTCTCCAATAGATTTTTGAGAGTATGTATCTTAAAAACGTTTTTGAATTTGTCAGATTTTATTTATATATTATTCATCTGTCATTAATGTTAATGATTAAATTGACATTAAGTGGTTAAATATAGAAATCAATTAGATATTTTAATAGAATCAGAGACTTCTTGGTTTTTTACCTTTCAGTTCATGAAATTTCCAGTTCATCACTTGGTTTTGATTATTGAAATTTCCGGTTTGCAGGCAACATGCACGGAATGTTGACACTTTCTTATATTGAAAATTCTCCAGCAATTGAAAATTAAGTAACACAAAATTGGGGTGGTCCACGAGGGTAGTTTTTTTGAGGTGTCAAGACCGACTGAAGAAGGATAATGGGTTGATGCTTTGCAATTACAATGTTCTAAAATGTGCATGTTATTATAGGTTTTCTATATTGAATAGATACAAGTATTTTATGTGATATTTAAGTCACAACGTTCTTTCATCTTATGGACCATTCTTTTGGAATTGACTCTCATCACGTGCTTAAATTCTAACTATGAGTGTATTTATTGAGAGTTGAACATTGAAAAGGGCTACGGACATGCTGGATTAAGGTGCACCACCTAATACCAAGCTACCTAAACGGAAAGAACTATTGTCAAGGTCAGTGCCGAAAGAGTGAAAACTGCGGTGGACATGTGCTCTTAAAGGGTGTGATAATGTTAAATTAGTCAATGAGATTCTTCTACTTAATAGACTAGTCTTTCGAGTCGATTTAAGTGATTGGTGTTTGTTTCTCTTCATCGAGAGAGACAATGTTTAAAGACATGATGGATGACTTCTGTGATTTTGGCAATTAACTCCGCCTGTGTCTCATTTGGTATAAACACAGCCGGTCCCCAGCCCGGACAAAGGAGGAGGGTTGCAAAAACCAAGTTGGGTTCTTTAGGGACTTTTGGTGAACCTAGTAATGGCATGTAATGTTCAAGACTATTGACAATATTTTGGACCAATGGTACAAGAATGGGAAACGCAAGAACTATGCAAAAATTGGAATTCAGGTAGACAGTATTCCACACTTTTTCACTTCTAGGGTTCTTTAGCTAAGCATCAAAATCTTCACATTTAATATGTACTTAGATGAATATACTATTTTCAACAAATTGCCAATGATGGCAAAAAGCTTTGCTTTTAACACATATTTGGTAGTATTATCATTTAAGTAAGGATCATGGAAGTGAAGAGGTGTAAGGTAAAGTTGATGGACTAGTGAGTGGAGTGAACTTGTTCAAGTATTTGTTAGCAACAATCTCTGAAGAAATTTTTTGAAGCTTTGATTTAAAAAGCTCTTGAGTGAGTATAGTACCGCATTCCTAAGTATATATGTATAGACATGTGTTCATGTATGTATCTTAAAAGTTAATGTGTATTATGTAAATTATTAAGTGGCAATGTAAAGGTAAATTTACATTAATGTGAAAATGCGGTTATCTAAACGTGTTTTGTCCGAGTTATTATTATTCTTCGTGTGATTTGGTTATTCACCCCTTTTGTTTACTTGTATTTGCATGGTTGTGATGACATAGACGAACCACAAGAAACAAGTGAAGAATAATGGTGTATTTCTTTCTTGTCGATGCTTTGAGGATTCTTTTGAGACTACTTGATTAGCTTGCATGGCAATATATTTTTATTTATTTAATGCTTTGAGGATTGTTGAGACTACTCTCATGTGAAAATGACACCAAATAGTTTATTTATGTTACTTTCATAGTATATAACAATAACTTTTCCATGGGTGGTTATGATGGTTTTTTTATGGTAAGGTAACTCCACGAACTTGGAGAATTGAAAACGTATTTGAGTTATAGGGTGTCACAACTTGATTTTTGGTAGCGGTGTGTCGGTGGAACCTCAAGGTCTAGGTAATAATCATTACCATTATGCTCACTTTTACAGGGAGATATGCGACTTTTTGGATCATTGTGGTGTGAGGCCAATGCCTCGAGGTCGTGGAGGACGTTGAAGTAATGAGTTATTGTGCCTTTGGGTCTAACTTCTTTTGGAGCGTTTCCGTCTTTTGAATTTTTCCTTTTCTGTTTTCCATCTTCATGCATTTTGTGTTTGTTTCCTTTAAGTTTTTTGTAATGACAATTTTATCACTTCTTTGAAGTGAAACATAACTATCTTATTTGGTTTGATTTTTAGAATGACAATGTTATGATGTTATTTTAATTGCAAATACTTCTTCTTTGCAAACACCTCTATGATTTTTGGTATATGAAATATGTGTTTTTTATGGTTTATGAAATATAATACTTCTCATGTCTTGTGTGTCTTTTTAATGTTATCAAAGGGAGAAAAATATATGTAAGATGAAGTTAGGATGCACATATTCAGGGAGAGTCTTCAAGAAAACATCAAATGCATCATCGCAAGTTTTGCCATCATAAAAAAGAGGGAGTATGTGAGTGCACCTTCCTATTAGAGATGTTTTGTATGATGTCAAAACTATGATATTTTAGCATTTATGTATATTAGATGGTATTATATTGGTCTAAATGTGCATTTTAGTATTACGGAATTTAGAAATGATTTGAAAAAGGTTTCATGCATTAAAACAAATGTAATGCATTTTTGAAGGTTTTAGGCTTTGCAACTCATGTGTTGGCACATACAACATTTCAGGTTGACACATAAAAGAAAAACTCTTCTATGTGTCGACACATACGAGTTTCGTGTTGGCACATGTAACTTATTTTTGAAACTTGTAGCCTCTGTAATACATGTGTCGACACACTGACCTATACAGGTCGCACATACTTCGAATGTGTCAGCACATGATATATAGATGTCGACACATGCATTAAAAATATTGAAAATTTACATTTTTCTTAAACCTTTTGCGCTCCTTTTTACCTCCAACTTGCACACATATATATCTCATACATGCATCCATCAAAAGTTGATGAAACCATAAACATATAAAGATTGCTCTTCATCTTCATCTCTCATGTTTAAGACATAAACACAAACAAATTACACATAATTATTTTTTTGTTTGGGTGGCATCTAGAATCAGAGTTGACAACATTCAATTTAGATTGTTGAATTGTAAATTGAGTTGAGAATCTTTGGGGGTGTTCATCCGTAAAAACTGTGAGAGTTTTCCACCTAGATCAAAGTGTTGATTTAGGGGTTTTGACAAGATTTCTCAATTCGGATTCAATCGAGTGAAAATATTGAAGAACGAGAGTTCTTACAAAGGAGTAGCGTGAGACGGTGAATGAGTTGGAAATCTTGGGTGACAATAATTTGTAATTTGGATTCGACCGAGTGAAAGCTTTGAAGAATGGTGGTTTCTTACAAAGGAGTAGTGTGAGACGGTGGATCAAATTGGTTTTGTTGGATGACTTGATCAAGCTCAGATCAAGGAAAGAGAAAGTGTAAGGATCAACATCAAACATAGAGTTTATAAGGTTGGATTACTATATTTCTCTTGTAAACAATTTTTTTGTAAAGTGTAACGGTAGAAATGTTAAGACTAAGCCATTGGATTGACTTAACTCGTACAAATCAAATAAAAATCACCACCACGCTTTGTTGTTTTCAAAGAAAATGGAAAAGGAGCGAATAAACCCAAAAGTAAGTGGGAGAGAATCTAGGTACGGGGGTTGGTTATGCAAAGGGAAGGTATTAACACCCTAAACATCTACGGTACTCTGCAGGAACCTCTTTGAAAATATGTGTATTTTGGCTATAAAAGGTATATATAAAATAAGATGGTGGAGATGAGAAAAGAAGTATTTTTTACAAATTTTGCACCAGGCGTGGTTGCAAATCTTTAGTGTCTACATACCATCTTCCGTGCAATAGGGGATCAGAGTACTCGTAGTTCACCTTTAAAGTTTTAAAACACTTGTGTGTTGGTTAATTTTAAGAAGAAAATACATCATCATCGTATCCAAGTGGAAAACATATTTACTACCCACAATTATGAGAAAAGAGAATTTGTGTCATCTCAAAGCGGAGGAGATAGCCTTGGATTTAAAATCAACAAGACATCACTCAACATCCAAGTGGAAAATGACTCACTTAACTACATATCGTAGAAGTATAATAACTTGCATCACTACAAGAATCAACAAGAGTCTAATCTTTTGAGAAAGAGTTTTAAAGTAAAAAGCCAAAGTGGTAAAAAATGGTTTGAGAGAGGTTAATGATTTTTAGTTTTGAAAAAGATGTCAAAGTATGATTAAATTGATTAAAGGTTTAATTAATAAGAAGGTTTTGAAAATGTATGAATCTAAGTCCAAGTTTATTATGAAAGCTATTCAAGTTTAAAAAACAAGAAGAGTTTGAAAAGGAGGGAGAATATTTTAAAATTAAAGAAGATAAGAGGAGATGAAGAGGATGTCCTATGTACACAAAGTAAAAGCCAAGGAAAGAGCGGTCTAACCAATAAGAAGTCAACACTTGACATAAAGAAGTCAATGTAGAATTCCCATCCTTTGGATTAAATCCAAGCAAGAATAATACTAAACTTCATATAAATACCAAGCTTCAGATGAAATAGGAACTGAGCAAAGTCTTCACTGATAAAAAATTGGCTAGAGTAACAACTGTATACAGATGAATTCTCAATCACAGACAAAGCATGTAATTCAGAATAACCTGCACACAGAAAAAATTCAAGCCAATACCTTGGATTAAACCCCAAGGATTTCAGAACAACTTCACAAAAACATCAACCAAAGATCACAAAGTCCAAGGTCTCAGGGCTACTAATCCTAAGTCTCAGGAATCCACAACTCTAAAGTGCCATGGATAGTAACCAGATAATCCAAGTAACTTTAATATTTTTTAATGTCCAAGTTGATTATTAGTTATGTTTACAAAAAAAATAAAGCTCAAGTGCGCAAAGATAAAATAGACATAAAGTAGATATTTAAGTGAGCAAAAGGTAAACAACATGAGATGTAAATGCTTAAAGATAAATGACATAAAGTAAAGATATAAAATAAATGCATAAATTAAAAGCATAAAGTAAAGTCAATGGTTAGAAGTTAGTGGTTAATAGTTGAGGGTTAAATGATCTTTAGAAGAGTGATCCATGATGATTTGAACATTGAGGCTAAGTCAAAGTTGATGAAGACTGATTAGAGGATTGATAGAATCAAAGCCTCCTAACAATGAGCTTTCAAGGTTATTAGCCATAGCTTAATATTTAATCATCCCCGGGCTTACAAACAGAAGGTCTGAACCACTAAAAATCAATCAAATAAAAGATGAAAAGATTAAATGATATGATCCATGATGGTTTGAGCCTTGAACATAGGTCAAAGTTAATGAAGATTTATTAGAGGATTGATAAAATCAAATCCTCCTAACAATGAGCCATCAAGGTTTTTGGCCATAGCTCAAAACTTAACTATACTTAGGCTTACAAACATCAAATTTAGGCCACTAAGAACCAATCAATAGGAAGGAAGAAATGGGATGAGATGAAGAGAAAAAGGGAAATCACAGTGTAACCAATGCCTAAGATGAAATTAGGGTTTCAAATATCATCAACATCATTCATCCATTTTGGTGAATTTGGTTTTTCAACCTATCAACATTCAAGATCCAATGAGGTTGAGGAACTTGTCCCAAAGTAACACTCAAATGTCTCCAAATCAGAATCAATCACAAAATTAATAAAAATATAATTAATAAAAACAATATCTAAATGATTAATAAAAAGGAAATAATTGGTAATAAAATAGAAAGTGTATTAAAACACCAAAAAAAATCTCAAAAAAATATCAGAGGTCAAACACGAGTCAACAAGTGTTAACAAATTTTTTTAGAATTTTTAAAAATCAGGAACTATTTTTAAAATATAAAGAAATGAGAAAAAATAAACCAAAATTTGTAAAAAATAGAAAAATAAAAAAAAATCAGATCACCAATATTTTCCAAAAGGACATTAGATCTTTCCATATTTTTTCTTCATAATTTAAAATGAACAGAAAATATTTTTAAACAATTAAACAAAGCAAAAAAAAAAAGAGAAAAATCATAAAAATATCAAATCATAAAATAAAATTATGAAAAAAATAAAAATTAGTAAGAGAAAAATCAAAAGTATTTTTGGTAATTTTTTCATAATTTTTGGATCAGAAATGAATTTTTTATGATTTTTTGAAGTTTAAAATAAATAAAACAATAATCAGAAAATAAAATAATAAACAAAAAAAATATGGACCATTAGATCAGTGTCAAAACGTGTTAGTAAGCAGATTCAAGGGATTTGACACGCTGTGTATGATATGGTATTTTTTTTAATAACACACCAGATCTTTAATAAAAATCAGAAAATAAAAATTCAAACCAAAAGATGTGGATCATTGAATCAATGTCAAAACGTGTTAGTAAGCATATCCAAAGGACCTGACGCATTGTGTATGATACAGACACTAGTGAATAAAACACTGAATTATTAATTAAAAAATAGATTTGAAAAAAATGCGTGGCAACATGTCATTGGTTGAGAGATGACACGCTGGTCATCTTCAACCTCCAGCCAGCTCGAGTTACAGGTTTTGCAAACGTTAAAATTGGAAGCTCAGACCGGTGCCATTCACTTTGTCTCATCAAGATGAAAACAACCGTGCCATCGCGAAAAATTTATTTAACCCGTAGCTTAGTCGATTTGGAAAAAAACAGAAGAAAAGTGAAAACGAGTTTTGAAATTAAATGCTCAATTCTCCATGAAAATGAAAACCAAAAGAAGCAAAAGACTCAGAGGAAGAAGGACTACATGTTAGAAACTTGTTTGGATCGATTTGGTTAAGAATTCTACCTAAATGAAGCTCAAGAAAATGGCTATGAAGCTGAACTTTTGTGGCTTGATTTATGGCTCAAATATCTTGGTTTAGGTGATGGAGAGTTTATATAAGAGTTGTGAAAGAAGAATCATAAGAGAATTTGAGGTGAGAAGGCTTGAAATCATGAAATGAATTTTCAAATTCCCAAGCTTCGAATGAACTTTGGAAGAGTGATTGTGGCTCTCTAAAGCTTGAAAAATGAATGGAGAGTGGTCTTATATTTATAAGAGAGTGAATGGTGATGA